GGACAGCTTCATAGCGCGGAACTAACTTCCCCTTTTCAGTTCTAGCTAGTGTTGGGAACAACTACATCGACAACGTCCTGGGAGCCTTTGACGAAGCTTTGCAACAGGTAGCGCAACTAAAACCACACTGGAAAAGTGGTTTCTGTGTAACCAAGTGGTTGTCCAATTTACGTTTGGTTTCAGACAACATTTCTGAAGGCGACAGAGCGAAAAGAGCTCTCAACCTGACCGCAAAGCTGCTCCCTATTGAGCTGATCTTGAAAGGAGGATGAAGCGCACAGTCCGACGAATCTATCTTCCAACTTACACAACCCAAGAGGGACCCCGATGAGGGCTACTCTTGTTGGTCTCCAGTTTATATGACCCGCTTGGATTCGTCGCGCCGTGGCTGTTACCGGTAAGTTCTTGCTACAGAAGCTATGTCGGAAAAGGGTGCAGTGGAACCAGCCATTAGAAGAGTAGGACCGTCCAGATTGGTATTAGTGGTTATTGAGCCTGGCCAGACTGGGTGAGATTCGGATGCCGGGCCAACTCAGCCAAAGCAGTCAGGCGACGAAGGCAAAACTGCACCTTATCTGCGACGCGTCTGAGACGGGATAAGGGGCAGTAGCCTACGTATGCTGACTGCATGTTAACGACGACCGCAAGACGAAACTATTTTTTGCCAAGGCACGGATTGCCACATTGAAGTACGTATCGATACCTCGCCTCGAGCTGATCACGGCCGTGCTAGCTGCACGCATAGCAAAACAGCTGCTTCAGTGCTTCAGTATCTACGATAAACGCGTCACGTGCCAGACCGGTTCTGCCATCGTGATACACTACGTGAACAACGTCAACACTAGGTTCGGAACTTTCGTTTCCATCTGGCTGATGTTGGTGCACGACGAGACCAAGGTGCACCAAGGGCGATATGCCAAATCGGTGGATAACCCTACGGACCACTGCTTCGGGGCTTGAGATCATTGGACAAATTACCCTATTGGCTACAACGCTCGGCAATCCTGACCGCCAGGCCAGAAGACGAGAGTAAAGTGTTTGCACCCGCCGTACCCGTTGAGTTAATTGAAGCCAAGAAAGTGATAATGACGGCGAAACGCGACGTCACCTCTCCCTGTTAAAGAAACTTGAATGCTTCTTGTCATAGAGCAAACTGATTTGTTTAGTCACTTTTTGGACGAGGTTCAAGCACATGGCGATAATTATGACTGTATCTTGGGTTGCCGAATCATTGCATGTAAGACCCTTATCGACAGATAATCTAAAGAGAGCCGAGAACGGCGTAGCGAACTTAGCAAAACAGCAGTATTTTCCGCTAGAAACAACGGCGCTGAACTAGAGCTCATGGACGAACCCAAAAGAGACGGCAATCAAACGGAGCGCTTTGCGTAAGCTGAACCACAAACTAGTCGAAAGGTTGCTACGCGTGGGAGGGAGATTAGACAACTTTTCCTCGGTATCCAAAGCTAGAAACCCGATCACTCTACCGCCCAGAAGCCAAGTCACCACCTTACTCATACGCTACCTCCACGTTCAAAAGGGGCACGTGGGAAATAACCGTCTATTGAATGCCATTCGGGAGAGTTTTTAGATAACACGCGGTAGGACCGCAATAAAGGGGAAGACCGGTAGATGTATGTTTCGTCGCCGACAAAATGCGATAGCCGGAAGGCAACTGATGGCCTCCTTACCCAAATTCAAGGTTTTAGCGGGTGGATGGCCGTTCGCGGAGATGGGAGTGGACTACTTCGGGCCCCTGATAGTGAAGGACGGGTGATCGGTCGCGAAGCGGTAAGGGTGCCTATGTACCTGCTTGCAGTCTCCCGCGGTGCATTAGAAGATAATGCACAATATGTCTATTGAATCGCTCTTCATGACGCTTCAAAAGCTGACCACAAGGAGCGGATTCCCAACAACATCTACTCCGACAACGGTTCAAATTTCGTGGGCGCGTCTAATGAGCTGCAAAGGTGGCTGTCTCGAGTCGACGACGGTGAACTACATAAGCGACTGGCGTCCCAAAATATCCTTTGGCACTTCGACCTGCCGTACGTCAGCCGTAGGTTCGAGGTTAGGGAACGTATGATGAGGTCGTTGAGAAGGATCCTATTGGCGGTATGCAAACAACAGTCCATCGACGATGAAACCCTGAGCACAGCCCTA